AATTAAATCCTGTTTATTTGGAATTGGGTACCTGATCCATTCCAAAACAGCATTTAATGGTTTATAATTGATTACTAGTCTTGGTACGCCTCTTTCTAATTCTGCATTTTTGATGACATAGAAAGCTGGACATGACCAAGGAGATTTAGATTTCCGAATGATGCTATTGTTAAGTAACTGGACAATCTTTTTCTTACAGATTTCCATTACTTCATGGCTCATTTGGATTGGTCTGGATTTAGTAGCGATATTTGTCTCACTAAATCTTTTTATGTATGAAAGTTTTACCATATGTTTTTTCCTATGCCAAAAAGCTGTAGGAGGGTTAGAACATACTTCTTCTAATTTTAACCTAATTGCTCAATCTTTTTTATTAAGATTGGATTTGTTAATTGTTCTTGAACTCTTTTATGGTTAATTTCATCTTTGAGAAATTTTACCTGTTGAGTTTTTTGATTGATTGCATTAAGATGCTGAGAGACTGAGTGATCTCTTAGTTGTCTTAATGTCTTAGTTTCTGGTTTACTAATAAAATTGAAAGTTACTGATTGACCAAATGGCTTAGTGGTTACACCCTTAGTATCTGTTGTAAATGGATACAACAGGTAAACAAATGGTAATCCAAGGATGACTTCACTAGTCATATTTTGTACTAGGACAAAAGATGTTTTGAAACATACATTGTCTTGACAAATATGAACATTTGACAACTTGTATTTAACTTTCATTTTACTTCCATTTGCTGAACTAAGTTTCTCAAGTGTCTTTTGATAATACTTAGTCGGTATTATTCCTTCTTGAATACAGTTAACATCTGCACCTGTATCAATAAGGGCAACAGTTTCAAGTTTAAAATCATTAATGATGATTTGTACTTGAGAATACCATTTTTGGAAACTAATCTTGTTAACCAGATTAATTCTATAACTATCATTAGTTTGTGAACACCCATCATGAGATGGCAGCTTCGTTACACTCGAATTTTCCACTAAAGAGGTGGAGGTTACAGGTATCCGCTGTAATTGTGTTCCATTCTGAGATTCTGTCTCAGATTGTTCATTAACTAATGGCTGTTTTTCAGAATTAAAATCCTTTGTAGCTCCAAAGCTATCTGTGTGTAAAAAACTTAAAGCTTCTGCAAATTTCTTGTCTTGAGCTTTTAGTTCTTTAATTTCAGATTTAATTTTATTAACTTCAGCTTGAAGATCTTGTAAAGTGAGTTCTTTCTTTTTCTCTTTACTAAATCTTTCCATAGCTGTGTTGAAGCTAATAAGTTGCTTACTACTGGAAACATTCTTATCATCTTTTTTTATTAAAAGATCTTTGAGTTTTTTAACATATTTGATTTTTAACTCAGGATCCTCTATTTTACTAATTAACTCAATGAGAATGTTTTCTTCTTCATTCTCTTTGGTTATTACATTAATTGTCTTACAGAGACAACTATCCTTGCAACCTATTTTAATGTTAGGTTCACTAGGATTATCAGATGCTGAGAGGTACTCAGATTCAGTTTCAGAACTACTATGGGAGTCTGAACTTTCTTTACTATGATTGTTTAGCCTAAAGATTTTAAGAATTTCTTCTTCTTCTTGTGGAGCTAAGTTCAATCTTTTAACTTGTTTTTTAACTGGACAATTAGGACTAATATGACCTGTTTTACCACAGTTAAAACATTTAACATCTTTATCTTTTTTAGACTTAGATGTGCTAGCTTGTTTCCCATATTTTTTCTTATAAGTTTTATGCTTATAAGATTTTCTAGAATTTTCATAAAAATTAGATTTGCTAAAAGTCTTTTTATTTCTAGAATAATGACTTTTGCTGCGAGAATAAGGTTTATGGGTTTTATATTTTCTGGCAACAGATGGTGCTACTGAAGGGAGACCATATTGTTCACAGAAATTTTCCATTTCATATTTAGCTTTTTTCTTATCATTGGCAAGTTGCTTACTGAGCTTCATGTCAATACACATCTTAAGTCCTTCCTTTTGGATGGTACTAACAAGATTGCCATATGTGAGGGAATCATATTCAATAATCCCTATGTCTTTACTAAGTGCATCCCTAATCTTATGGGCAAAGAGATTTGGGAGGCCATTAACAAATTTTTCTTTCCAGAAAGATTTATTGCAATCCGGACGAACCATGACTCTAGAGATGAATACATCTTTGTACCATCTAAAGTCACTGAGTGTTGGGCACCTTAGATTACTAAGCTGATCATGGATTCTAGTTTCAATTTTACTAGGTGTACCAACAAAATTTTTAATAATGGTATAAATGAGAGTATTGATACCATCAGATCTACCTTTACCAAGGGTTTGATCAAACACTGGTATACCATCATCATCTTTGACAACAGCATACTTAATTTCATCTCTGATTTCTTGTGTGAGATAATTGTCCCACCAACTACGTAACATACCAGTAAAACCTGAAGTGATAATGTCAATTATCTCAGGTTCATCTTGGTCAAGATTTGTTACATAACTGTTAATAACCATAGACATGTGATTAATTTTATTCAGAATTTCTTGTTCACTTAAATCATCTATATTCCATTCATAGAGTTTGTTAGCTTTAACAGAAAACTGATTACTAATATTTTTTTCTTCAAATTGAAGATCAGGAGGTGTTGGTCTGGTGTACCAATTTTTACTGATACTAGTTGGATTAATATTTAAAAAAGTCAATTTGTTAATCTGAGTGTTACCAAACTGCTCTTCTAATTTACTTATTTCAGAATCAGATGAACTTACTGAGTTTACTTCTTCTGAATTACTAGAAGTTTGGTTAATGAAAGTTACTTGGGAAGTGCCTTCTTTCTTTTGAGAAGCTGGTTCTTTCTGCTTCATTTTAGAAATAAGTTTTTCAATCTTCTCAATATTTTGACTGTCTTTTATACCTAATTTACCACGATCCTCAGGTAGATGAATTAGAGGTTTTTCTAATTTATTACCTGGTTTGATCTCATCAATTTTATCTAACTGTTTGCCTATAGTGATTAGGCTTTGGTTAGTAAAATTGTTTTGTTCAATAATTTTCTTTTCAGACTCTTCTGAGGAGAGTTTGAAAGGAGAGGCTACAACAGGTTTACCATGGTTAATGACAATGGTTTCTGCTGGAGGGTGACTAGATGATACAATGGATTTTTCTATTTTTCATTTGTATTGTGTAACAACATGTACTTCTTTGTGGAAGTTATCAAGATAATCAAAGAATAAGATTTCAGCTTCTAGCTTATACATTAGCTTAACCCATTGTTTTCTTATCTCAATTTGTTGGTTATTATGGAATCTTCTAAAGTACTTTTCTCTTTTAGATTCATATTTTTTACTGATTGAAAGTCTATCTTAAGATTATTCATATCAGGCATGAATAAGGTACTAGATTCCTTTCTAATCATAAGTAACTGATGGTTATTACTCTGAAGGTCACTAGCAATAGGAGAATGGGTGAAATCATTTTCTTCATCATCTTCTTCCTTTTTCTGCTGTGGAGTATAACACGGCTTACTTATTTGTGAAGAGGAATTATCTATTCCTTTTAATTTAAATAGTCTTTGAATTTTTTTATCTATTTCTTGGTCTCTTTTAGAGAGTCTAGAACTAGATTCAGATTTTCTTCCTTCACAGATTTGAATAGATTTATTTATGAATCTGCTTGATCTAGTGGACCTTGCAGAATCAAAGGAGATTCTTACTGAGCCATCCTCTAACTGGTGGATGCTCTCTAAGTTAGTGGTTGTGTTGTCACTATCCTTATCATGATTTTCATTTTTTACTATCCAAGATTCTGGGAGTGTTACATCCTTCCAGAGGATTTGCTTAGGTGCTTGGATATTCGTCTGACTAGAACTGGCTTGAATCAATGTAGTACTACCTAAAGGACTTTTCTGTAATGCATGCACATTCAGGTTTGTAGTAATGCATTTATAATAAATCCTGTAGAGAAGTACTATAGATTCTGTTTCTTTTACCAATTTAGTGATGCTTCCTGTTAGCTTTATACCTAAGGTTAAAGCTAAGGGAGTATTTTTGCATCCTAAACTTAAGGTAAAGTCAAGGAAACAATTGAAATAAACTGGTCCTTTATGGAGACCTGTTTCCATGATTCCAACGATACTGAGTTCATATTCAAGAAACCTAGTATCTCTTAACGTTAACAAGGCTGCTGAATTCTTTCTTTGTTGAGTTAATGGTTTAATAGCTACTTGTACTAAACCAAGGTGAATAAAGTTAAATCCTTTATCCCTATGTTTTTTAAGAGTTTTGGGACTCAACAGTTGGCAACTTTGTTCATCCTTAAAGAGAGGATAAACTTGTTCAATAGTTTTTACTTGTAATTCTTCATTAAAGGCTTTAAGGAGCCAACTAGTTTTGTAGATGTCTCGGTGGGATACCTTTGGGATATTCCAACCAGTCCAATCTACTCTTGTTTCTCCAAACTCATGTTCTTCTTCATTTACTATACTAGGTATAGTACCTAATGAAGATCTAGATGAGCTAGTCATAGAGTTAGATCTAAATAATCTACTCATGGTTAAATAATTTTTTAATTTTATAAATTTTTGTTTAATTTTGACTCCATTGTACATACCCCCTAACATACTGATTCCCTCAGAACCTATCTGTTTTCCCCTTAAACTGCCTACACAAGGACTTACAATCTGAGAATGGTCGATTATTCTCTCTCGGGAGATAAAGGATGGGTGACAAGGGTAGACCAAACTTAAACAATAATTTACTAAATTAAAATAGAAGAGATTTAACACAAGTAAGACGATTTAAATATAACTGCATCACATGCTCAGAATTCTTCAACAACTCAAACCTAACCTCCCCACAATAGGCAAGCTCTCGAATGGATGATTTGTTAGGCCTATAACACCTAAGAGGAGTGGTAGAGTACTTATCTAAAGTATTCCCCATTTCGCCTACAACTTCAGAACCTGTCCACCATCGCATCGCAATCATCAAACAAATTACCCACATCCATTACTTTTTAGGAATTGTTGAATTATCATTGGAGATAGAAACCTCATCACACCCACAATCATCATCATCCTTTTCAGACTTTGAAGATTCCTCCGACCTATTTCTAACTTCATTAATATTGAAGTTATCAATATTGTGAAATTGCAAATCCGTAATAGAAAACCCATAATCCTCTTTGGCTTTTGAACATTTCTTTTGAGCTTCTTGAGTCTCAGTAAAGTCCATTTGACAATCATTTGTTGATCCTATAACCCTTGTATTCGATTCGCCAAACACAAGTACATTCAACGCCTGCTCGTGTAGCCTTAGATCCTTGTCGTGTAGTCTCTGTTGCACAATCAAAGCCTTCGAACACTCATGCAACGAGGAAAGTTGAGCCCTAGATGAGGTCCCAACTGATGGAGAAGTAAACAACGAAGCCTTCTAGTGCCAAAAATAACTATTGGAACCCTTAAATTGTCAGACACAATTCCGGTCATAACCCACATATGAAATAACCTTCATTTGATCTGAAGCCTTAGGAAAAGTGGACCCATAAGAAAAGGACCACTACCCCTATTAAACCAAATTGGTTTTAATACTTAGCTAGAAAGTACAAACACTTTATTTTGGGTAGAGTGTCGGTGTCGTATATGTCTGGAACATAGACACGTTTTGGACACGTGTCGAACACTTTTATTGTTAATTTTTTTAGGACACGTTGGGGACACGAGACAAACATATTTGGGATACTTTTTGAGGTTATTTTTTATTTTTTTGAGAACTTTTCAATAATTTTATAAGTAAGAGTTATTTTTGTAATTTTAAAAGAATATGAGTCACAATCATAATATAAAAGAAATTATAATTATTATATTGAACATCGGACATGATGTAACATAATTTTGGATAAGAACACGAACTTATATACAAATAGAATAAACTTTTGATATGAAAGTAATGTGAGAAAAATCAAATTACAAAACTAGGGCTCTTGGAAATTTATGAAAATTAGTGTTACAAAGTGGAATATTTTTGAAAATAAAAGTTGTAGTAGTCATTGATTGTTAGATCAGGGATGTTAATGTTGAATGTGTATTAATATATCTTATATTGTATTTTTTCTGAAATGATATCATGATGTAAATTTTTAGAATTATGAAAATGGTGAATTAAAAGATTATTATGATAATATATATATATATACTAGTCATAACCTGTGCCTTATAAAATATAAAATTTTAGTGTCTAAAAAATCGATCTCATTATATTAATTTTTTTAAAAATATATTAACTACAAATTAATCAAATATTAAATGATTAAACATATGATAGAAAAAAGTGATGCGATTTGACGTTTGAGTCTGATAGAGGGATGATGGGTGAGGTAAGTGATTGGTGATGGTTTTGAGGAGAAAAATATGACTGAGATAAAATTCAAACATACTCTTGTCTTATTATATAGATATATACATACTATTTAACATATTGCCAACGTGTCCGTATCCTATTTTTTTGAAAAATTTCATGTCGGCGTGTCCATGTTGTGTCATATGCGTGTACATACTTCTTAGGTACTTATGCTGCACTATTCTTCGGCTTAGCTCCAACCATTTCTTTATCTAGTGCTTTGAATCCATTTAAGCCCAAGGTCTGGTTATCAACCACTCTAAATCCTCTACCACGGCAAATCCAATTCAAGTCTAAATTAAACCTTCATTTGAAATTCAAAATTAGAGTTAATTACAACATTATCTTGGGGGACACTCTCATTAATGACAAATTTACTCTCCATTAATCTTGGTCCACTAGCAGATTTATTTTCTCTACCTCTCGATCAGTGTACGAAAATCCTATGCTATCTTTCGAATCTCCTCTTCTCCACAGTGGCATATCATCCCCATAAGCCTCGACAAAGCCCTAACCTTAATTCGATACACTTTATCTTGAAGATTGAGATCAAGAGACGCCGGAATTATTCCCGAATACAGGCTCTTAACCTTAAGTCTTGCCATGAACAAATTTTGCAGCTTCAAAGAACTTAAAGCCACATCAACAAAACCTCTACAACAATCTCCGATTTTCTTAAAAACCTCTAATTTGTGGAGATGAAAGGGCAGCCCTTCCACCCCTATCCAGCCACCAAGAAAAGAGACTTTGCTACGATCCGAGTTAGATTCAGGTTTCGAACTTTCAAATCCAACAAGAAAATTTTTATCTAAACAACAACTTGCCACACAATAAACATCATTGCCAATATCAGAAGAACCACAAAAAAACAAACTGCTTTATTGACTTGAAAGGGAGTAAATTCATCACAAAATTCAGCTTCTTAGCCAAAGCTATACGGATGTCACTCCATGCATGAAAGATTCTTTCTCTCGTACACACCACAGCACAGTCTTATCTCCCATCCACTATGAATTCTTTTTCATTCATAAAGTGATGATATTGAGTTACACCATTAAATTTCTCTACAGAAACTTTATAATTACTCTCCCTTGTTCTATTGATTTTGCCTCTGTAATTAACATCCCCAGCAACATAAGCATTCCCTTTGTTACTGTTATTTCCTCTAGGCATACAGACAGGTTCAACGGATCCGGATAAAAAGGATGATGGAATAGAGTCCTGAAAAGCTACATAGGAAAGGTAAGTATTCATTAGTCAAGGGCCATGCCCATTGTATTACCTAAGAGGACATTATTGAAATTCTCTAGACAGTTGAAGAAGATGAATTCGGATGTGCTCAAAGGATGCTTCATCAAACCTGGGAGGTATCTACATTCTGGTCCCAGGAAATTCTAACAGCAAGAAAATCTTTTAACATGTCCAATTAGATTTCAGGGTAACCCAAGTAATAGAGCCAGGTGATCTACTAATTGATCTTGATGGCAATTGGAACCAGACTCATCTTTAATACTCAAAGCCAAAACAAGTTACCCTTTTCCTTCCTTCAGTTTGGGAATGATCACTCAGACCCATTCTCTCACCATTATTGAACAACTTTGAAATATTGATGAACTCTCATATACCATTCTTAACCACTTCAATCCACACACTGAGTAAGCCTTAACACGCAGGATCCTAAAGAATTTTTCGTCCCCATCCATTTTCGCAGCATCTCTAAGCCCTTTTTCAATCCATGAAGCATGATCCCATTCAACCTCTAAAGAAAAGATTTTCCTTGAATTCCTCTCAACAATACGCATAAATCTAATCGAACTGCTAATAAAAACTTCAAGTTCTAAACCTTGTGCTCAATCTGAAGGTCAACCATATCGTAACTCTCAAGCAATATTATCATCAGTATCTCAAAATAGGAATGGGTTTCTTTACTTATTTGTAGAAAATGAAACCTTGATATAGTGAAATTTATAAACTATGCAAATAAAATATCATCATCTCCTAAAGATTATTTAGTCAAAGTGTTTGTTTACAAATTTTACCTGATCATAATTCAGAACTTCCTCTGAAGCATGGTCATATGCAGCAATCGTTCCAACTGGTTGACCACGGAAGAACACCATGGATCGGCGGAGAGCTTCCCAAGCATCAGCAACCATGGGGTGGGGCTCAAAAGAGTTCCGAGCCGATGAAGCTGGGGTATCGAATCCTGATCGTCCACCAGGTGAATAGGTGCTCTCATAGTTATCTAGGCCTCTTGTTAAACCAATAGACAACTCACTAAGAGACCTCTCATCGAATGATCGTTTCCTCTCAATGTTCAACCTTGGCTTGTCAAGGAGCTTTGAGAGATCAAAATCGTCCATTTCAGAGATTGAGCAATGGGAACTCACACTCCTCAATCCAAATTCTTTAGTACCATCCATACCACTGTTGACTCTTCAACCCAAAATCACTGCACGATAAAGAGAGAGATATGACTTTTCTAGGAAAGGATAAATATATGAAGCATTTAAGAAAGATCAGACATTGTAACAAATGTCATAAAATAATACCATTAAAAAGAAACACAACAAATGTGGAACACAAACAGGAAACACACGAATAACCACAATCAAAATGATCTCATCCACCAACAAACTTATAAATCAAGAAAGAGAAAGAAAAGGAAAATGAATCACTAAAGAATATATAAATTTTTCTTGTGAAAACTAAATTGTTATACATTTTGAAATTGGCAAAACAACACAAACTTTTAATTGTAAATTATTAGAAGAAAAGGGGTCTGGTAGTTAATTACCTAAACTGAATGTTGTTATCCACTACCAGAATTGATAAATTGATATTTTTCATTCTCTTCCCCAATATAATACTCATAAAAAAACCCAAACAATTTACCAATATAAGCATCATCTAACCCAGATTACAATATGACTCGAAATTGAAAAAGGTCCAATCTGTTCATGCTGTTTAGTTTGATAGATTAAACTACATTACTGAACCCACACAAAAACCAGATATTCACCAGAAACATTCAAGATCCATAGGAGAATAACTTCAAAATGTAACCATATTTATATTATTACGTATTGAAAGATATGAACAATGATCTCCATAAAATGTCGAAGAAAAAGCTCAAATTTGAGAGCTTTGGGAAGAAAAAGAGCAAGTTGACCAATAAGTAAAAGGGAAAACCAGATCTAAAGTTGATTTGCAAGAAAATGAGAATAACAAAGGGGGAGAGAACAGACCTTGAGAATGTGAAGATAAGATTTTCCGACGAGAATGACGGGGGAAGGGCCGGCGAGATCGCCGGGGCGTGGTCGGATAGAAAGAAAGAAAAGGAAGAGAGAAGAAAAATGGAGAAGAGAAAAAAAGTGCATGATTGCGGAAGCAGGTATTTATAGTCAGAGACTGTTTTCTAGAGAGAGAAACTAGAAAGAACGAGGGGGAACAAGAGAGGAACGGACTGATCCTTTCTAGCATCTATTGCAAGAAACTTGCCCGTTCTAACCGGTTAGTTAGAGAGAGAGAGAGAGAGAGCTAATAAATTATAAATTTTAATTCTTTAAAAAATAGTTATCTCACAAAGTTCTTTAACTAATGGTAAGTTTTCCTTTTCTTATCAGATATTCAGAGTGCCTTTAAAAACATAAATAAAATTTTCAAAATCTTTCGGAGGATGTTTTCCTCAAAAAGTATTATACTATTTCGTTTTATGTAGAAAATAAAAAAAAAAAGAAAAAAAAACCATTTTCCCCTTTTTAACTTGTTTTGTTCATCCATGAAAGGAAGAAAATATAAATATAATCCAAACTTTTTTCTTAAAGCATCTCCAATTTTGATTCAAATGTAGACTTAAATTTAAATTTGAGCCAAAATGACTTAAAAAATTTCTTTAACTTTAGACTCAAACCGATACCAAATTAAAACAAAACTTATTCTGCACCTAAATTGGAGTAAACTCAAATTTTATACCAAATTTATAATCGTAACTTTTTAACCTATAAAAAACTAAAAAACTTTTTTGACAACTTGTTTTCTGCCCCTTCTTGCCTTTCTCTACTACGTTGCTTCTATCGCCAATAACCACTGAAGCTTTCACAAATTATTTGAAG